GCAGCGGCCCGGGGGACGGGCGGGGGCAGGGCGAGCACGCAGCATCAGGCGTATGCCAGGGCACGCCGAGGGTGGGAAGACGCCCTGCTCGTCGGGGGGGGGGGAGTGGGAGAATCAGTGGGTGACTTCATTAAGACCCGCTGGCTGGCGTGAGTTAAAAAGGGTCGCCCAGACCCAGAGCAGGAGGAAGGGTGACGGGAAGACGGAGGGTGAGTCGGAGGTGGACACTGCTGGAACTAGCAGGGTAGGAAGCAGCCCAGGGCAGGGCCTTTAGGTATAAAGGGCCGGCGGGCCGGTGAGTTTTGGACCCATCCCCACCGGCTGGACAGGGCTAGGTGAACCTGTCCTTAGGGCCCTGGGCTGGGTCCCATGAGAAACGGTGGGCCTGGGCCTCCCTACCCCGCGTTTCCTAATGAGGAAAGCGACAGAAGCCGGCACCAAGACAGCCACTCACCTTCAAGGTGGACGGTGACATAGACAAAAGGACAAAACACGGGGGCGAGCATAAGGTCATCCATGTACACCGCCCCTTCTACCTGAGTCCCCGCCCCTTTCAGGAGCCCAGAGCGGGGTGCTCTCCTGCCTTGTCCAGGGGCCCAGCAAGACTGTTGGTCCCACAGGGCATATGGAATGGCTGCCATATGAGAAGAGAGTAATAAGACTGGGACTTCTCATCTTGGAAAAAAGAAACAACTGAGGCCCGGGGATATGATAGATTTCTATAAAATCATGACTGATGTGGAGAAAGTGAATGAAGAAGAGTTATTTACTCCTTCCCAAAACTCAAGAACTAGGGGTCACCAAGGCCTGGTCTACATGAGGGAGTTATTTTGAAATAAGGGGTGTTGTAGCACCCCTTATTTCGAAATAACAAGCAGAGCACCTATACTACCATACTTGTTATTTCAAAAGAAGGGGTTGGCTATTTCAAAATACTAACTCCTGCTTTCCATGAGGAATAACGCTTATTTCAAAATAGCGGTAGTGTGGAAATAATCCTGTGCCAGTATTTTGAAATTATTACTCTCCAGAATAATTCAGACTAATTACTCCCCGGTGCTTCCTCGACTCTAAGTCGAGGTAGGGTGTCCACATTAAGGGAGCCTGCCTCAGACTAATTTTGAGGCTTCCCTATAGTGTGGAGATGCTATTTTGAAATAGTTATTTTGGGAGTTATTATTTAAAATAATTTGCTAGTGTAGACATGCCCGAAATGAAATTAATAGGTAGCAGGTTTAAAAACAAACAAAAGGAAATACTTCTTATTCACACAGGGCACAGTCGACCTGTGGAATTCTTTGCCAGAGGATAATGTGAAGGCTGAAAAGAGCTAGGTTCATTCATTGCAGCTACCTCCATCAACGACTGTTACCCAGGATGGGCAGGAATGGTGTCCCTGGCTAGTGTTTGTCAGAAGCTGGGAAAGGGCGACAGGGGATGGGTAACTTGTTGATTGCCTGTTCTGTTCATTCCCTCTGGGGCACCTAGCCAGTGTCAAAAGACAAGATGATGGTCTACATGAATTTGTGGTCAGACCCATTATGGCCTTTCTTACATTCTTAATTCCCCTGTTCCAATGACTTATTACTAGTGTAGGTAGCAAAGTATTATTTTTAATTGTTTTATTAGTAGCAGCACAGGTTAGACCACCCTGGTCTGGTACCCTCAGGAACTGACTCTTCCCACATGAGGGATTTTGCCCAACCAGGGGAGGACACTTCTGGCCTCTCTGCTGCTGGCCTTACTCTCTTCCCTGCCTCCAGACTGGGCTTCCAGGCTTCTCTAACAGCCTAGCTGGGTTGGGAGCAGGATTTCCACTCCCTCTTTCTTCCCCAGCTCAGCTCAGCTGTGTACCAGCCTTCCTGGGTCTTCCCTCTCCCTTCTCCCCCGCCCCCATGACCATGGTGAATATTTGCCAGCTCTCTAGACAAAGGCCTAAATACATATATGCAACCAAATTTATCAAACTGCAATACAGCTCTATACCAAGTGCTATAACTTGAGAGTCTATAGGCTTCAGACCTTTTATGTTTACCTCAAGCAAACAAAAAAGCTTTGTCCAACATGTCAAAACACATCTTAAATCAATACAATTCTATCTCCCAATCATTCCAGATTCTATAAAAAGACCATCCATTCCTTTTGTGGGCCTTCTGTGATTCAGATGGTGATCAGAGTTTACTCAATTTGGCTCTTACCATACAAAGACTTAAATCTGAGTTTCCTGGCTGAACTCTACATGAAAGCTTCAGAGAGGAAGCCAAGTTAGTCTGTAAGGGTACGTCTAAACTACATGGCTCCGTCGACGGAGCCATGTAGATTTGTTGTTTTGGCAAAGGTAAATGAAGCCACGATTTAAATGATCGCGGCTTCATTTAAATTTACATGGCTGCCGCGCTGAGCCGACAAACAGCTGATCAGCTGTTTGTCGGCTCAGCGCGGCAGCCATGTAAATTTAAATGAAGCCGCGATCATTTAAATCGTGGCTTCATTTACCTTTGCCAAAACAACAAATCTACATGGCTCCGTCGACGGAGCCATGTAGATTTGTTGTTTTGGCAAAGGTAAATGAAGCCACGATTTAAATGATCGCGGCTTCATTTAAATTTACATGGCTGCCGCGCTGAGCCGACAAACAGCTGATCAGCTGTTTGTCGGCTCAGCGCGGCAGCCATGTAAATTTAAATGAAGCCGCGATCATTTAAATTGCGGCTTCATTTACCTTTGCCTATGTGTCTAATCTACATGCCTCTGACGACAGAGGCACATAGTCTAGACACAGCCTAACAGGAAAAACTCCTCTCCCCTTCCTCCTTCCCTTATGTATTCTTGGATCTGGACTTATTATACTCCAGTCATCTGAAGAAGTGGGTTTTGCCCATGAAAGCTCGTGATACTACATATATTTTTGTTTGTCTCTAAGGCTGTGTCTAGACTACAACTCTCTGTCGGCAGAGGCATGTAGATTAGACACATAGGCAAAGGTAAATGAAGCCGCGATTTAAAT